TACCATATATTAAAATAAAATTCTTACCATTCTTCCACTAGATGTGCTTCGTCAATCACAATAGCTTTAACAGAATCTTGATTTTGACTTCAAAATATTTTGAAAAAATTTCTGATCTTCCAATAAGGCTTCTGGGTGAGCAAATATTATCTGACTTGGATTAGCAATCTGATGATAAATAGAGCCCCTCTCCGACCGCATGCTGTGCTTCGGCAGCGTTGTTTCCCTGCTGGCCTTCAAAGTTCAAACAAATGTCGTTGTATTATAAATGTTGGGAATTGTTTAAGGCGTTTAATGGCGAAATAAAAATTACTGTGTTACCAGTAGAATTCGTATTTTCACGACATCAGTGGCTTTCCATGGCCAGTAGGCAAGACGCAAAATGTATCCTTCCGATCATTCAACAACTGCAGCCTTCACTGCTTCGTACTGACATTCCTTTAGCTCAATATTTTGCTTACCTAGTCGCTTTAACGCTTTTTCCAATCCGCTATGAAATAAAGTAATACTTTCTGCAGACATTTTTATTTTTTTCAAAACCAAAACAATACAAAACAATACTATCTGACACACGCATGCGCAGTTCGGTCTTAGCCAGGATTCCTGGCTTCCGGCGACGGATTATCCCAGAGCCTTCGGTTCCTTCACAAGGACCGCAGGCTCAGGGAACGAGATTGGTGTAACGGCGGCTCCTTGGGTAAACGCAACTTCAGTTGTGAGGGCTGTATCTGGTGTAGATGCAACTTCAGGTGCTACGGCCGTAGCTGGTTTAGGTTTTTAGGTTCAATTGGGAGTATCCCCTACACTCAATCATGTTTTGCATTAAAGCTTTTCGTTCACTAGAGGGTTTCAATAAGTCAATATTAAAATCTCCAAGGAGAATGGTTGGCTTGTTAACCAGTAATGTCATGTGAAGATAGTCTAATGCCTCTATGAGTTTGTGAAGCTTGACTTTCGACCTTGAACGGTAAATGCCAACAATATGCAGATTGGGAACAGGCTCGTTCACAACTGTCACAGAAATTTCCATGTTATTGTAGTTGTAACTAAAAGGTGGTACAAGGTAAGCAAGTGTCGATTTAAGGTACGTAATTGTCCCATATGTCGTTCGAACATTATTTTCCAAATGAATATGATCATTTCTGAAAAGATCAAATCCATCAATTGAATACTCTTCATCTGTGTCTCGTGCACACAGGATTAACTCTGATTTTGTTCTCAAAATATTTTGTTCTTAAATTTAAAATGTGCAACTTGCCAATGTTTCTAACTCTACTAAGACCAACATAGTGCATGTGCTCTCTGTTTGAATTTGGGAAATCAACAACTGCTTCATCAAGAGTGTCTCCCTGACAACGATGAATTGTTTTTGCAGCAGCTGGCCTTAGAGGGAACTGCCTTCGTAAGACTTTTACATTGGTACTTTTTCCAATTTTAAATTGTCAAGTTATCTCTAATATTGGGGTCCAATGCCATTGTACGTGTGTGTTATACAAGTGTGAGTTTTCGTTACGACAATTCTGTCCAACATTAGGTTCTGAAAATAAAACCCATATAATACTCGGTCTACTTGAATTTAAAACTCTGTAATCAGTCTTACAAATTATGCATTCACTGCCATTTGTCATTCCATCATTGACAGAAACGTTGGTGGTTAGATCATATTTTGCAGATGTGGCAACTGAGAGAACGGAATGCAGCCCCATAGTTTTAGTGGAATCTGATGAGATCCTCTGTTTAATTTGCTGCTTCTTATCATCAGAAATATCGCCTACTACAATATCCACTGCTTCTATTTCTGCTTTATCATCATTACAACACGTAAACGTTTTATTATTATGAGCAGCCACAGATTTATTAGTGGTAAACAAGAGTGTGACATTTAAATTGCTACAGTCTGGTTGCAAGATTCTAGTTTTCAATTGCTCAATATCATTTTGCGAATGATGCCCTTCGCGAAGCCGATTTAAAAGTTTTGCAAACTGCTTATCTTCTTTTTGTCTCATTATTTTGGTTAGCTCATACATTTCAAAATACTCTTGCCAAACATTTAGAGCCAGTGGGCCATAATCCTTGTTGCTGTTTTCAAAAATCCATTTGTCAAAAACTGGTTGAAGCTGAAACAAATCCCCTACAGCAATGATACTTACCCCTTCAAATGGCATTTTTGAACCCATGATCTGTTGCAAGCGTAAATTGACGAAGTTGAACATACCGCTGCCAACCATTGAAATCTCATCAATGAGTACAACTTTGAGTTTTCTTAGCTTAGATCGAATTGTATTGAGTCTGTCATTGTCAAGGGGTATATAGTGAAATCCTTTGTTTACAGGTAATTGAAGTCCAGAATGGACAGTGTTGCCTCTATAATGTTTTATATAAGTTCTTTGAATGTTTGCATGGCGATAAAATATAATTGTTTTTGTTTGTGGAAATAAAATATAATTGTTTGATAAAATATAATTGTTTTTTGTTTTTTTGAATTTACGTGGTGTTTCCACAAACAAAAACAATTATAATGTTTTATATATTTATTCCTTTCGCTATCTGAATCGTTACTGAATCGTCTGAGTAATGTTTTTTGTCCTTTCCCTATCTTAAACCACACCCATTACTTATATATTAACTAATGAACTAATTGTATTAATATCAACACTACACTACATCCCTCCCTTTCTTTTTGTTTGCGTCCTTCGTTCTTCATAAACAGTACAAAACAACAAAATATGAATATATATATATATATATATATATATATATATATATATATATATATATATATATATATATATATATATATATATATATATATATATATATATAAATATCACTAGCCTCCCAAAAAACTTCATTTATATAAAACTTCAAGTTGGAAACAAAATTTATTAAACTTCAAACAAATACATAATACGTTTCGGGGCACAGCCCCTTCGCCCCGAAACGTATTATGTATTTGTTTGAAGTTTAATAAATTTTGTTTCCAACTTGAAGTTTTATATATATATATATATATATATATATATATATATATATATATATATATATATATATATATATATATATATATATATATATATATATATATATATGGATACTCTAACTATAGTGTGCGCGTTCTGGATTATTTTTTTGCAGTCTCTATAATAGTTCGCTGCGACTTAGGTTTATGCTACTGCTACTGTGGTACACTAAAGCGGTTAGGGGGTTGTTCCCGATTTAATCTTAAGGATATCGTTTTTGTGGTTGTTCTTGTATCCCCTGGTTCTTCAATATCACTGTTTGGAATATCCTCGTTTTCACCATCACATCATCGTCATTCGTAGTGGATCCACAAGTGGACGGTCGTGTTATCTTCCTAAAATGTGATGAATTTCTTGTTATCTTGTGTTTGGCATTTTCAGCTGTAATCATGCTGCCTTTTTTGCAACTTTGTGGTATGGTATGGGATTGTTGTACGACGAGAATCTGTTACGCTTTCGCTGTCGTACTAGCACATTGTTTCTGTCATCTGCATATTCTTTCATTTTTCTTTTAGCAGTCGCATCTTTACACCTGAGGTCACAATCAATAACAGTTGGGGAAAATTCTGGCAATTTTAATCTCATCTTTCTTCCAAATAATAGTTCCGCGGGTGTTTTGTCGGTACTTGCGTGCGGAGTTGCGCGATAGTCGCGCAGGAAACGATACAGGAAACGTTTCCAATTGAGCTGCTCAGTGTGTGCCGTGATAATTGCTTTGTTTAAAGTTCGCATGAATCTCTCTGCTTCGGCATTTGCCTTGGGCCACAGTGGAGTAATCTTTCGGTGGCTGAACCCCAGATCTTCTGAAAATTCCTTAAATTCTTGACTATTAAAAGGGGGTCCGTTATCAGTTTTTATTTCTATCGGAATGCCATGGGTAGAAAGAATGTTGTCAAACTTTGGTATTGTTGCCTTTGCTGAGGTGGATTTTAGAATTTCTACTTCCGGATACCGAGAATATTCATCAATAACTACGAGTAGATAGTCACCGGTTGGTTGGGGTCCACAAAAATCTGCTGAAAGTTTCTGCCAGGGTCCATGGGGTAGTTTCGTCATTTGTAGAGGTTCGTAATGTTTGGTGGGTGTCGCTGCTTGACATTGTATGCACTTTTCTATCATTGATTTTGCTTGAGCGTCTATTCCAGGGAACCAAACTTTCTCTCTTAGCCGACGTTTAGTTTTTACCAAACCCTGATGTCCTTCATGGGCAAGCGATAACGCATGTGAGCGAAGTGGTGCTGGTAGAATGATTCAGGTTCCCTTCAGGGGCAAATCATTTTCATTGGATACTGTTATTTCATTACGAAGCTTGAAGTATGCATTCATTTCCTGTGGGTCGACGCCACTGTTCCGTTGGATTGGAGTAACAGTCCAGTTGCCTGTTGGGATTGCTTTGGTAAGGTGTTGTAATGTTGGGTCGTTGACTGTCGCTGTTTTGACATCATCGAGGGATATTGCCTTGGGAGTGGCATGCTGTGCAACAAAGCATATATTCGTCTGCTATCTTGGAGTACTGGTTTGATGGTGAAGATAGCTGTGGGTGGCGGGACATGTAAACAGCTGGGTTTGATTTCCCCGGCTGATATTTAACAGTGAAGTCATATCGCTGAAGTTTCAGTGACCATCGTTCAAGACGTGCTGAACATCGAGATCGAGGATTTGCATGGATCTGCTCAAGAGGTTTATGATCCGTAATCGCTGTAAAATGAGAACCGTAGACGTATAAATGGAAACGTCCAGAGAATAGCGAGAGCTTCCCTTTCGGTCTGCGATCAACAGGGTTTAACGCACGAGTAGCAAAGGCGATAACTTTTTCTTCTTTCGTTTTGGATTTTTTTTGCATGAAAATTGCGCCAAGACCTACAGGGCTGGCATCGACAATCAAGGTGGAGTCGCTCTTTGGGTTAAAATATGATATGGTTTTGTCATCGGTAAGGTGTTTCTTTAATGTGTCCAGAGCCGTTTGGTGTGCTGATGTCCATTGCCAGGTGGCGTTTGATTTGGTGAGTTGGCGTAGAGGTTCAGTTATGGTTGAATAGTTGTGGATGAAACGTGAACAATAATTCGCCATCCCGAGTAGGCTTCTCACTTCGGTTGGATTCTGTGGAGCACTGATTTGTTGGAAGGCTATAACCATAAAATTCTACGGATGGCTTGTTGTATTCACATTTAGTCGGGTTGCGGGTTAAGTTCTTTTCTTGCAGGCGTTGGAGGACTGCTTCCAAAGCATGGCTATGTGACTCCTGATCGCTGCCATATATGATAATATCATTACTTATGTTTCGTGCACCTGGTATGCCCTCGAGGATTTGCTGTATGGTTGCTTGAAACACTTCCGCTGCTGAGGTAACTCCAAAAGGCAATCTTGTGTAGCGTCGCAGACTTTTGTGTGTAGAAAATGTTGCTATGTACCGTGATTCAGGCGCAAGTTCTAGCTGGTGGTAGCCTTGGTTTAGATCAACTTGGAGAAAACAGTTGCTCCATTTAAGTCGTTAATAAGGTCATCGATAGTGGGTGTGATGTGTCGTTCTCTCTCTATCGCTCTGTTGGCAACGCGCATGTCAACACAGAGGCGTACCTTTTTTGGAATTTTTGGATTGGGTACCACAACTAGTGGAGACACCCATGGGGTTGGACCATGTACTTTTTCTATTATGCCTTCATGTTCTAATCGTATTAATTCTTGTTCAAGTCCCTTTCGAATATGAAACGGGATTCTTCGGTGTGGTTTGGCATTAGGTGTAACAGTTTCATTGACATGAAGATGAACTTGACAGTCTTTTAATTTTCCAACTCCATGATATCTATCATTGTATTTGTCTAGTAATTGTCTAGCAATTGTTTCGAACTTTCGCTCATTTGGCGATTTGCAAATTAATTCTCTATCGATAATTTCGTACTTTATTTTATAACCTCGTCGCCAATATGATGTTTTATGTATTTATTCCTTTCGCTATCTGAATCGTTACAGCTTTTCAATCCTGTCTCTGAGTAATGTCTTTTGTCTTTTTCCTATCTTAAACCACACCCCTTACTTATATATCAACTAATTAACTAATTGTATTAATACCAACACTACACTACAGCCTCTAATATTATAAGCAGCTTTCCCGGTTGGAGCAAGTTTAATGACTTTTGCTTCATCTGGATTCTCTCCAACAACATGGTTTAAGGTGGCTCCCTACTGTTATTCTTGTTTAGGCAATAATTCCGTAAAACAGGCTTATTCGTGCAGAAAGCGAATTCTTTTCGACTTGGTGGCAATATTGGTCACCAAAGGAATATTTCGAACTAGATTTCGACAACGTCAATGTTCCCATGGCAACATGACGACAGCATAAAGCCTTCCAATTTAACCCATAAATGTGCCGCTATCTCAAAAACGATGTCGGTGACCTATCTTTTTTATTTCATATATCAATAGGGAATGATGCTCTGCAACTGTGGTGAAAGTTTAACAAAATTCTGTAGTGTGTGATTTTTTTAAAAGCGAAAATTTTATTGCGAAATTTTTACACTAAAGATTTTTCTAAAAATTGAAATTTATAAAATTTACCGCAAAATAAATTCGTGGTCAAAATATGAAGATAGGTCACCGATGAAACTAATGAGTAAAATGTAAATAAAGTTAGAAAATAGCCTCGTGTAGCTCGAGAAATACAGACCCCTTATTGAAAAGCGTCGCTGACTAGTAAAAGATTGTACGCGGGCGCAGAACGAGCTTTCATTCAGCAAAATCGAGCGGCAATGTTATTTTTACTGTTTTGTTTTTGTCAACTTTTCGATTAATTTGAGTGCCATGGACAGCCAAAGATTATTGTGAAGGATCAAATCGATGAAAACAAGGTTGAAGCTAATTGAACCCTGCCGTTTACTCAATCTATGAGCTGTAACAGCCTATTAACAGGTGGACGTGTTTTTTTGTTTCATGTTTGGTTTTGTACTTTTTGCTAAAAATGAACAATTAGGTTATGAAACTGAAATATTTTTGTTTATATATAATCACTTTAACCTTGTAGAAACACAACTAAAAACGTGAACGTTTTCTTGAGAAGTAAACAACTTTTTAAACGTTTATATGCAATTTTGCAAATGTTTTACAGTTGACAGTGTATATTTTAAAAAAAATTAAAAAACATTGTTTCGTGGCTATTTTTTGGTCTAGTGATATTCGTATCATATGTAGAATTGTTGTAAGTAGTAATATAGAGGCCGTTCGACCCGGATTTTGTGGTGGTGGTTGTGGTGGTGTGTGGTGGTATGTGGTGGTGGGTGTCCACCACCTCATTTATAATTAATACTCGTACAAATTAGGGTGCGTAGTGACGTCACTCATTAATATACGTCATAATTATATGCAATGACGTCACGCGGGCCGATCCGGCTAAACTTGCTGACTACGCATTTTTTAGCGTCCCTCCTCGTGTTCGACACAATAGTTAGGGCTATATACAAGAGAATATGTTGTTGTCTGGAGTTTTATAAGTACAGCTCTCTCATTTTGCTGTTATTGTCAAGTGATTCCTTTAATTTAGCTCCTAGAGGAGTAAAAAATCTGATACTATACGAAATAGCATTAGTGTTATATATCTAAAACTTATATATTCGGGGTATACAGCTATATGTTTTGTTGTTAAGTAATATATAAATATTATCAAGCGTCAAAACGCTGAGAAATAGCATGCGCTAAGAGTTATTATGTATCTACAATTAAACTAATATTTAAATCCCGGTCTGCCATATGAGGTCTATATACGAGAGAATATGTTGCTGTTTAGAGTTATATAAACACATGGAAATTAGAGGTTATGATATAAATTGTCAAGCGATTTCTATATTTTATTGCTAGTTTGTTAAAGTACTAAAACTCGGATAAGGTTAATAAATTTAAGCTATATTAAAGCACACCGGTTGCTATGTGTTGTTAGGGTGACACTAACAAAAGGATTAACTTTTATCAGAGATTTGCATTTTTCTACTGTGTGGATAAATACGGGTAGATTAGGATATTCATTGCGCGGGCGTCGCGGGTTATCCGTGCGGGAAGAGAGAAAGCGATTTAGACAAGACAGGAGCGCTTTGCAGCCAAAAGTTGAAAGACTTTGTGTGGAATCCTGTAATGGTTGTCAAGTCGGTCATCCTAGTGAAAGACAACATGACTGCCGCATGATGAACGAAAACGAACGAGGGCAAATAAGGAATCTATTCGTCACAAAAATCATATTTTAAACATATTTTAGACATATTTTAAACTAAACAGTTCCTAATCCCGAGTTGTCAGCGTCGTTGTTAAGGTCAATATTTACGTGTTGTTCAACGTTATTTTAGCAAATATTCTACATACATATATACTGTTAAGATGACCGAGTCAGATCATAAGTAAGCTTATCGGGAATATAAGTTAGAATTGGAACAGTTGTAATATATTTTGCAGTAAAAACATGTAATCGTTATATACGTTGTTATGTGTTGCTAAGTCATTAGCGACGCTTGCGTGCATGTATATATTAACGTACAACATATTTGTACACTAATCAGGCGGGCGGATCGCGCGGGCGGAAAGAGCGGGCTTTGCCGGCAAAAATTACACAATATTTCAGTTTTTAAATACTTTTATTTCTTCAAAACGTTTTACAAAATTTAGTACGGTCTACTTCTAAGAGCATAAGGTCTAGGAGTTTTTGTTATTTTTAAAGAGTTTTCATATTCTTGTCTATCTTCTGGGGATAACCTTGCAACATCTTCATTCTTCATTGGAATATATTTCGGCCTCTCGCGAAGTAATCTTTGTTCGTAACCTTCTCTTTGTTCAGGGGTCATCATTGCCAAATCTTGGGGCCTCCAATCTGTAGAGTCTACCCAATTGTGGAAAAAGTTGCGCTTGAGTTTTGGCCGTTCCTCTTCTGTTGGTGGTGGTGTAAGGAAATTAGGTTTAGGGGTAGCAGGCACTGGTGGTGCTATCTCGACAGATTCATTGGGTTGTGGCATCTCTACAGGCACGAATGGAGCTGGCTGAACAGGAGCTTGAGTCGGAACATCCATCTTATTTTTGAATGTCAAAAACTGATTTAGTTGATCAGAGTATAATTTGCTTTTTTCCACTGCGCTAAGCTGTGGTGCATCCATGATTTCTTTCATTCTCTGTTCGGCATCATACATTGCGTTTGCAAGTGGTAGTTGACGATACGACTGTTTGTGTAAAAACTTTGCAATCTCGCCGGGAAGTACGTTTGTCTTGAGTCGATCTTGGTCACTCGTTGTCGGCTTTAAATCCAACATCAAATATCCGTGAGGCCGGCTCGTAGCATTTTCATAACTCCTCA